AGTTGCACCAACCTGCTGATCGGTGCTTTAGCTGTAACAGATATGATCAATGCTTTTATCCCTGGAGTCATGTTCTTTTCTTCACTTGTATCTGGCAAGATGGTACTCGGCGTGTTTGGTTGCTTTATCAGCGACTTTTTCTTGCACTTACTGACATACGCATCAGTATTAACGATTGCTCTTGCAACCGTCAATCGTTTTCAATGATAATAATAATAATAACGGTTTAATATCAGTAAAGCCATGGTATGGCTCTTCGCCTGATATAACAGTAAAATAAGGGAAAAATAAAAATACATAAATCTGAATTATGAATTTGTAAAAATGCTAGGTAGTAAACAGTAAAATGTAATTAAACAATATATACATTATTTAAAACTAGGCAAGAAATTATTCCGCCTTATTCAGGCAGCGCTCCCTTAAAATACCTATTGTTTGCTTACTGAAGGATTTAAAATCATCACAGCATTTGACATTGGATTGCAGAGTATTGAAGAGGGCTGCCGCGCGAGGCATAGGGAATTACTTACTCAAGCTCAAGATCTCTAGGCTAATCATAGAGTGAATAGCTTTGTGCACGGCCTTTAGAACGTGCCATTCTCTCCGTTCTTTCATAGGCAAGCAGCCTAACTTAAGAATAGAGTCAATATTGTTCACATAGCGTCCAAAAACAAAATTGGCTGCCGCAAACTGGATGCGCTGTAACTTTTTTAAAAGGCAATCAGTAATTTGATAGAATATTATATCATAAAAGTCTAGGCGAGATAGAACCAAGGCATTCAACTAAATGTTTTCTGACATGGTAGTTTCTAAAGTTCTTGATTTTCCTCAGCGCAGCTAGGACACCATAACAAGATGAGGGGAGATGCTTGACATGATCATCCCACTTGAAGGTGTCAATCATGTCAACCCCAAGTAATTTAGTAGAGTGAATACGCTCGAGGAATTTATCTCCTAGAGATAAATGTGTAAGACGTTCAGCCAGAGAATGGTAAGATGACATCTGAGGAGTTGAGAACAACATACACTTAGTCTTTGACGGGTTCAGCGCCAAGTTGGAGTCCTGGAAGCAGTTTGTGATACTTAAAGAGTCATTTATGTCCACAGCTCTTGAGCCTAACTCCTTGACATTACAATGACTATACAGTGAGGTGTCGTCCGCATACTGGACACATTCCATCAATGGTGGAGTGACCTCGAGTAGATCTG